CCGCCGCACCAGCAGCAGCAGCAGCAGCAGGGCTTGATTGTCCATCTCCCTGCTGCATGTGGCTTCCTTTTCCTGTTGCCGTAGCACCTGCAACAGCAGCTGCAGCAGCTGTTGCAGGTGCTGGTGCACCTGCAACAGCAGCTGCAGCAGCTGCTGCTGCAGAGGCGGAAGCATCTGACTTGGTGGTCGAGTGCTGCAGTTGCTGTTGCGGCTGCTGCTGTTGCTGCTGCTGCTGCTGTTGCTGCTGATGCTGCTGCTGCTGCTTAGAGGATGCCGCATGTGGAGAGGAAGCCTCAGCTCGAGCATTCTGCCTCTTAAGGCTTCCCTCTCCTGTTACTGGGTTGCCAGCAGCAGCAGCAGCAGCAGCAGCAGCAAGTCCTTGGAGTTGAGTTTCCTTCGCTTGTCCTGCATATTCTCCGTCCTTTCCCTTTCTAGAAGGCTCATCAGCCGCAGCAGCAGCAGTAGCAGCAGCAGCAGCAGTTTGGTCAGCAGCAGCAGCATCTGGGGCTGCAGCAGCAACACCCGCAGCAGCGGCTGCAGGAGCAGCAGAGGCGGCGGCACCGTCGGCAGCAGCAGCAGCTGCAGCAGCACCGGAAGCAGTGGACAGGCCGTCAGTTCCATTCGGAGTAACCGGAGCTGCAGCATCAGCAGCAGCAATAGCTGCTGCTGCTGCTGTTGCTTTATCTTTGGCTTCACCACTCGTGGCCGCCAGTGAGCCAGCAGCAGCAGCAGCAGCAGCAGCAGGATCGGAAGAATCTGCAATCTGCCCAAACTGGGATATGATACTTCTTCTTGCCGTTGCGGCTGCGCCGGCTACAGCAGCAACAGCAGCAGCAGCTGCTGCTGCTGTTCCCGTTGCAGTCTGATCTGGGGAGTTCTGGCTGAGGGATTCTCTCCTTGAGGACCGTAGCAGCACAACACTATTTCGTGCCACTGCTGCTGCTTCAGCAACAGCAGCAGAAGCAGCAGCAGCTGCTGCTGCTACAGCAGCAGAGGGCTTTGCTGCGGGGGGCCCTTCTTGGGGGGGCCCCTCTGCAGGGGCCCCCTGGGGTGACAGGCCCTCAGCCTCCATCCAAGCTAAAGGCTCTAGACTTCAGCTGCAGCATCGGCAGCAGCAGCTGCAGCAGCTGCTGCAGCTGCTGCAGCAGCTGCTGCAGCGCCAGCTGCTGCAGCAGCAGGCAGGCTGACGCAGCGGAGCTGTTGCGGCTTGAGTTGCTGCAGCTTAAAGGATTACTTTCGGGATAATACTCTCTGGATCTATTAGTGAAATGGAGAATAGGAACAAAACAAATAATTTAAATGAGTGGAGTCAAGAGGAAGCAAAACTTGCGTTTCGTACCGCCCTTCGCCTGCCTCGACTCTTGCGGCCCTCTTCCCGCCTTTCTTTCGCTAAATAATCCAACTTTACTATTTCAAATAAACAGTTTATTTAAATTATTTCTTTTTTCAGCAAAACAAATCCATTTCAAACATATTTCCCTCGCCAAGCCGCAGCAGCAGCCCCAGCATCACAATGCTTCTTGCTGTCAGCTGCAGATCTCTGGGGGCCCCCGGGGGCCCCCGGGGCCCCCAGAGGCCCCAACGGGCCCCCCTATGACCCTCTTCTGTGTACTTATAAGTTGTAAGTAACTATTACTTCTTTTTATTCGCAACTTGAGGCCCCGGAAGGCCTCCCGGGCCCCCCACGCTGAGGTGACCCTGTGGTCACTTGGCTGCTGCTGGTGTGCTTCGTTTGCTGCCAGCCGTTTGCGTTTCGGGAGAAAGCTGCATCTTTATTAATTATTCATTAATTATTAATTATTTAAATGATGAATGCATTTTACTTTGCCGGTTTTGCCGCTGTTTGCCGGTGCTGCAGGCACAGAAGGAGTGCCGAGTGCAGACTCGACAGCTGTGGCTGCTGCTGCTGCTGCAGCTGCTGCAATTGATCTGCTGCTGCTGCTGCTGCTGTAATTGCTGCTGCTGCTGCGCTGCGGCGGGAATATCCCGCGCACAACTGGCCACGCTGCGGAGAGTTGCTCCCAGGGTTGCTGCTCCCGAGCTGCTACTGCTGCTGTTCGCAGTGCAGCTTCTGCTGCTGCTCAAGCATTTGCTGCTGTTGCTGCTACTGCAGCAGCAGCACCCCCACCGAATCTGCAGGTTTGCTGCGCCTGTAGATCCGCTCGAGGCAGCCAAAGCCCTAAACCCTAGGCTGCAGCGCCAAACCACTGCAGCGCCAGTTGAAGTTGCTTTACTTAGAGCAGCAGCAGCAGCAGCAGCAGCAGAGACCAAGGCAGCAGCAACGCAGCAAGCAGCAGCAGCTATGCGAGTCTGCGTTTAATCCCGCTAGCTGAGCTGCAGGCCTTGCTGGCTAAACCCTAAACCCTGCTAGCTGATCCCTAAACCCTAACAGCTAGACCCTAAATCCCAGCAACTAAACCCTAAACCCTAGCGCCTAAACCCCAGCGACTAAACCCTAAACCCTAGCGACTAAACCCTAAACTCTGAAAGCCTTAAAGTCTCAGTCAGCTGCTGGAGCTAAAACGCCGCAAACACTGCAGCACCTGCAGACCCTCCCGCCGTGCAAACCCTAAACCCTAAACCCTAAACCCTAAACCCTAGACGTCAGACGCTGCGAGGGTTTAGGGTTTGGCTTCTGCAAAGGGGCTTCCTCAGTTTAAGGGTTTAGGAATTAGGGTTTGGACCAAACCCCCCCGCAGCCGCAGCACCAGATGTATGACGCTTTTCTCCTGCAGCAGCCACCGCAAACCCTAAACCCTAAACCCTAAATCCCAAATCCTAAACCCTAAACCCCAAACCCTAAACCCTAAAGATCCAAAACTGCCCCTGCAGCGCGCGTCCCCAGGCTCCCAGTCGCCCAACCCAAACCCCAAACCCAAACCCCAAACCCTACACCCTAAACCCTAAACCCTAAACCCTAAACCCTACGTTTAAATTGTAATCGGAAAGTTTGTCTTCGTCCCGCATTTGCTGTCCATTGACTATCAGCCGCTGCTGCTCCGGAGCCAAACCCTCGCGCTGCTGCAGCTGCTGCTTCAGCTGCCGCACAGTGCAGCTAGGGTCTACGTCTTCCACTGTTATCATCTTGCCTGCAGCAAACCCTAAACCCTAAACCCTAAACCCTAAAGCCTGCGGCTAGCAGCCCCTGTGCTGCTGCGGGCGGGCGGCCTAGGCCCGCAGCCCTAAACCCTGGACGCTGAGGGGGGGAGCCTAGGTCTTCCTCTGCAGGGCCTAGGGTTTAGGGTTTAGCGTCCAGGGTTT